GGGGGGGGTGCTATAGTAACGAACACAACTTTCACACGCATCTAATGGACAGATAAACCAAGAGTAAACCTTATCATTCAGCTAGGGATATGCCGGTATCAAACTCTCATGTTGCGATTAATTGCTAATGCTTTTATCACGGTATGCGGTATTATCAAGATATTGGAATTTAGTTAAAAAAAGTGCTGTCATAATACAGTATAACAGGTTTAATAACTTTTTTCTTATAACAAAAATAACTGAACATTTAAATGCAATAAAGCAATACAGAAAAATGTATAAAGTTAAAAGTTTTACACAGATTAAAGTGCAAAAGAACTATAAAGACCAATAGGTATCACTTTACAATAAGACCTCATTAGTTAACCTTAGTTAATACATTAACATTCACAATGAGCAATAGCAACATTTGCTACAGAAGTTATTAATCCTTGTTTAAAAAATACAAGTCTTAGTTCATGTTAGCTCATTAAACAACACAGCTGCAACTCTCAATTTTAACATCCTGTTATTAAATATTGGAATACCTAAGATTAATGAAAGTTCAGAAGAATTTTTCATTGGCAGTTTATGTTAACTAATGAATTAACTAATGTTAACTAATGAAGCCCTAATGTAAAGTGTGACCGAACAATAAAGAATCAAAACACTTTCAAACAATAGCTAGGGCATGTTGTAGTCCAGATTAAAATGTAAAAAAAAGTTTGAAAATAAATAGCCTATTAAGTCTAAATATTTAAGTATTTGGCACTGTGATGAACATCATAGTAAATACACAAATCTGAATGGCTGTTTAAATAATTTAAACATGATTCAGAAACAGGAAGTAGTGCAGCTGCTTTGTTTACAGGGTTTCCGGGGTAACGGCTGCATTTAAATGAATTATTATTATAATAATTATTATTATTATTTCTGCAGTTTAGCGCCATCTGCTGTCAGAGAGTGAAAGTGCGCTTTCATCCAGAGCGTCTCTCACATGTTCCGCCATGTGCTTCTCGTCCGCGCTTGTTTACATCAGAGTGCGCACGCGTCTTTCACGCAGCATACAGCGGTGTTGTGCATTTTGACCGGTTTATGGGAAAAGTATTCTTAAAATGCATTCAAAATTCTGAATAATTTGTAATATATAATTATTCACGGTATGTGCCCACGATAACAATACCATGCATATTCATTACCGTGATATATCGCATTACCGAATACCGGCACAAGTCTACATTCAGCTGAACGCTGCACATCATTTCAGACATAGCCCGAATGAGCCTGGATGTCTAGCGTATTTTCTTGAACTTCTCAAGTAAAATTTGTGGTTTGACCCATTCAGAGGCAGCCAAAATTAGAATTTAAAAAGCTCCCTATGAACTTGACATAAATAAAGAAATAAAGACTGGTTGTTTGAATATGTACAGCATTTTCTTTACTCAGTAAACACTATAATTATTTGGTTATAATGTCTTTTAGCATTTGTCGTCAGTCATATAGCATAGCAAGTATAGTCTTAATAGCCTGTGCATAGCACTACATCTTTAAAAACATGAGATTTTGGCCAAGTCGCAGAAAAAAAAATGAGCAGCCACGTAGCAACAATAACTTTATAACCTGTAAGTTGATAAAAATGTAATGCGATGCACTGACTGCCTCAGATGCGGCCAAAGACGGACAAGACACATAGATGTCCGACATTCGCTGGTTAGAAACCTGGTAATTCCACTTGAGCTTGATTTTGGTAAAATGTTCACAAAATAATGACACATGCAAGTGTCTGACCATATACACAGCCACAATATCAGCTTTGACAACACAGTGTTCAATTATATAAAAAATAGAGTGTTTTTTTCCCCATTTCCTGAGAAGTAGCAGATTTGAACAAGGCTACTGCATAACATATTTACCAAGCAGAATAATACAGCATCATGATACACATTGACTCACTATTAGCTATGACTTTTAGCTAGCCTATTATAGTCTTTCGAAGGACAAAAACGTGAACTTTTAAACTATTGGCTTTATTCACTTTATTTTGGTGCGAGGCCCTGCAGAGGTGCAAGGCCCTGTGCGGTCACACACTTGGCACAGCCCTTGTGATGGCTCTGGACAGAGATTTATTTAAACACACTCTCTCTCTGTTTCAGAGTACAGTCTAGAACCTTCTTCACCTGCCGTAGCCCCAGCAGCTATGTGCACCTCACCTGGGTCTATCGCTGCCCCTGAACAAGAGGAACCACCATCCACAAGCAGAACTTCTCCACCGCCCAGAGCTCAAACCACTGACCCAGTCTCACCAGGTACCACTGACCCTACGCCTAACCAGGACCGTGCCAGCGATGGTCCCACAGGTCAGCTCGGGTCACCCCTGCATTCAAGCCCCACTGTTGACGTTCCAGCAGTGTCAATATCCACAGTACAAACACTCTCACTCTTAGTACAAGCATCTCACTTAAAATCTGAGCAGCTACCAAAACCTTCTCCTCCGGCAGGGGTTTCTTCATCACCAGGTCGTCCCGCTGCAGCAGATGCTTCTGATGTGGGTACCACAGTGAAATCCCAGTCCAGTGCTGCCTTATTCTGGACCAGATGTAATGAGGCTGGGTGGACTAAAGAAGTCTTCTCAGAGCTCGAGTCTCAGCTGAGCAGCCTAGGAGAAAGAGTGCAGTCACAGGTAGCCAGCCACCAAGGTGAGAACAGCCTTGATTCAGGCCAGTTTTGTGGAATATTTCAGGTTCAATACAAGTTAAAGGTGAAGTATGCGGTTTCTGCGCTTCTAGTTTCACCTCGTGGAATTACAAAGATAAGGCATATTTTCAAACAACCTTTTGCAAAGGCCTCTTTCACCCACGCTCTTCTGATTATTCTTATCCTTACAATATCTTATTTTATCCGGGGCTTGACAGTAAAGTGGCAAAAACTCGACTAAAATGCAAACATTGAATCAAATTCATCCATCTTATAAAAGCATTACCAATGTTTACTCTCCTCTTAAGGCCCGTTCACACCAAGAACGATAACTATAAAGATGACTATATTAGCGTCCACACCAGCAGACGATATCATGTGTTTATTCCAAGCGCACGCTTGTCAGCCACTTTAAAGTCTCGAGCTTGTTATAGCAGGATTGATTCTGATTGGCTGTCAATGTTTTTATCGTTCATCAGCAGCGTTTCTCTGTGCCTTTATAGCTGTGGTGTGGACTCTGCTATTCTTTAATATTGAAAGCGATTTTTAAAACTATATCTGTATCGTTATCTTTATAGTTATCGTCCTTGGTGTGAACAGGCCTTTACCCTGTTGTATGTCTCTGTGTATTTTGGCAAGTCTTCGAATTTTGGCTTGCTGGTAACAAACCAAATCTGAATTTCTTTACCTATGTAATGTGTCAGCGGTGGTCCCACACACTGGCTATAAAGCCTCTCTCTCTGTCTGCTGAAGTAGCCACAGTCCAAACTCTTGCTATAGGTTGCACTGGAAAGACATTGACGGATTTGAGCGGACCACACTAAATGTTTTTTAGTGCCTGGGAGGCTCAATGTTGACGCTTTTTGGGGAGATAAACCCTTGAATGCAATACTTACAATAGTCAATGAATGATAATATGGGTTGAGAGAAGATATTTTAACAAAAAAATCTTATAAACATTGGCACCGATAGCCTTGTGGGCAGCGTGCCGACATACAGCACCATTGCGCTTCGGGTGTCCCGTGTTCAAATCCCAACTCGAGGACCTTTCCCATTCGCTTCCTGTCATGTCTGATCTGTCCTATCACAATAAAGGCAAAAATGCCAAAAACAAACAAAAAAAAATCTTATAAACTTCACCTTTATGCTAAATCGTCAACATTTGTGGCATAATCTTGCTATCAAAAACAATACTTTTTGACTTGTCCCTTCTTTGAAAAAAAAATCTTGGTTACAGTTAGTAACTTAAAATGGAAGTGATGGAGGCCAATCCATGGAAGTTAAAATACTGTTTCTTTAGTATAGCAACAGGACATAATATGAGTGTTTACATTATTTTAATGTGGGAAAAAAAGTGTACTGAACTTTTCTCTGTCGTTATATACCATTTTACAACTTTGTTGTTGCCATGTAACGCTTAAAACCTGAAAACAACCATATGATATTAGATGAGAACAACTTTACAGCTCAAATAATACACATTTTAACAGAATAATTAATGTAAATGAATGTAAAGTGATTCATGTAATTTAAATTAAGAGATCCACATTTTTGCTTTTAAATTCTCCAAAAATCTGCCACATTAACTTCCATTACAGGTTTCTCATCCTAACCGATATTTGGCTTTTTTTTTTTTTTAGTAAAAAGAGGAACAGGTCAAAATTTTAATTTTATTTTGTGTGTGTGTGTGTGTGTATGTGTTGATCACTGATCTATAATCATTATACTGTTATATTGTCACAAACACTATCAACTGAGCTTAACTCACATTGAATCTGAAATATCTCTGTTATGTTCTATAACCCTCAATAAAATGCTGGGTTTTTGTTTATACAACTGAAAGGCTATGAAATATTCCACAGACTATGATGTTGCTCTCAAAGTATTGTTGGCATCTGGACAGCTGCCTTGCATTTTTACTCAGCTGGAACAAGGTACATTTCATTTGTAACCACCTAAATCTAAAGTGTTACATGATTTCAACCCCTTAACAGTAAGTTTTGAATTTATATACTTATCATTTGAATGGATAAATGAGTAAATTTCTTTGTGCCTTGTAATGAATCACATATTAGAAAGGAGAATTATTATGGGGACTTAAATGGCACTGTTTCATGAGAATGACTTTGTTCTTTGTGTTTCCAGACCTGGAGAAACAGGAAAGGGATTTGCAGAGGAAAAAAGCAGCACTGAGGGATGCCAAAGCTGTACTAGATGTTTAATATAACAATCTAACAGAATTAAGATGTTTCATCATTTTAATCAATTTTTTTAATGGTTTTTTAAAGTCCAGAACATTTCTGCAGTTTGCATACATCAGATGTTTTTTTTAAAATGGAGATTTACATCAGTAATAGAAATCTCATGAAATATGTCTACATATGTCATTTTGATATGATTATTCTTCTGTTTTCATAATCTAAATAAACAGTAAGAAACATTCTTTACAGAATGCCGTTCTTTGCATCTCACATTGTATTTTAAAACATAGCTTTTGACACTTTTGAAGAGGAGCTGAGAGTGTGCAGTATGTGTCTGTTGTATACAGAAATGCGGTGTATATTGTGTCTGTTGACTGGGGGAAGTGAGACTCACATCGTCAGCATTTGCTCATCTGTAAACAGTTCAGAGCAGGAGACTGAACAGCCAATCAGCACACAGCAACAAATTGACCTCTAATGAGGCCTCAGGTCAACCACAAACGTGCCAGAAGGGCCAGTCAAACCTTTTATTAGTGTGCCTTCATTAGAGAAAAAACACTCCATTCCCAATATGGACACTAGGTGGCAGCAGACACATATTGACACAGCTTCAAGAGGCTCACCAGGTCACTTTTCATTATAGATTCACAGCTGCTTCTTTCAGAACTATCAGTTGTCATTGTCCTTTCAGCTGTACTTAGGCAATGTAGTCCAAACCTTGTCTAAACAGTTTTCAGTGAATTAATTTTGATAAATATTTTAAGTCAAAAAAATACCAATGCTTTAATAAAACCCACGCAAGATCAGTTAATGTAATTCAGATATAAACATGAAAATATATTAAATCGTTTTATGACTTTTTTAATGTATTTTTAACTATCATCTGTATTAGATAATATAATAGAATGTGTTACTTATTCATGAAAGTTATTATAAAAGGGTCCCTTTACCTTTTATTCTTTTTTTTTTCTTTTTTCATTTTAGAACCACCAAAGCAGTGAAGACTTGAAAATAGTAGGATGTAAGATCTTAGAAGCAGCCTTTTTTTTTTTTAAAGGCTTTTTCAAGTTGTTCGCTGAACCCCCTCTTGTCTGTCATTACTAATGTCTAGACCTGCTGAGAAATCAAGACAATGGGAACAATAAGAGAGTCTGCATTGGGGGGTTTACAAAGAGTTACCCACCCATCCCTGTTACGTATTATATTACTGACTGATGCTGAATGGTTCTGTGGCATATGAGTAGAACATATTCAAATTATACATTTATTATTAATAAATCTAATTAATATTAAGATTATCTATCTTTAGAATTTTAAATCTAACACTTTATTTTTGTAGAGACGCTTGTACATTGTCAATATTTTATTTGGTCGTAAGACATCATTTCACAATATAACAGGTCTTTGACACAGAGACAGAATACTTAGGTTTATTAAATACAGCACTTGTGGAATGTACCATAAGACACAGTGTACAGAGAAAATTCAAGCTTTTTTGGGGATTGAAAAACAGATTTGACAAGTCTTACAGGACAACTTTTTCAGAGCACCTTTTCTGAAAAGCACATTGCCTTTGAGTAGCTGCATGGCCATGCTGTTAAAAATAAGACTTAAGAATTGGTGGTGCATTTTATTGTGAATAAAATTAATGTACAGTGGGTACAGAAAAGAATCACCCCCCGATTCTGTTTTTTTTTTGTTATTTTTTCTGACATGTTGGTATTATATCTTTCACTTGGATGTTATAAGCTGCACAGAGTAAATACAGCTGGATAAAACAAAAACTGTGCCCGTCTTCATTTTGGGCTGCAAAGCAACACAATTTGATTATTTTAAAGGGGGTGATTCTTTTCTATACCCACTGTATGAATGGTTTTAGTGTTAAGAGGACATAAGATTTCTGCAGTAACCAGTAAAATTAGGTTAATAGTTGTAATTAATGTTACTGTGCAGAAGTGAATTATTTCAGGTCCAGGACACTATCAACAGAGCAAAACACATCAGAAGAAAGAAGAGAACTTTTACCTTCATCCTAACATTTGAAGAGTTTGGTAAGATATAAGTTAGGGCAGCAAAAATGGTCTTGTTAAATAGATTCATGCATGTCTAAAAATGTTTTAGTGGTTATTTGACTGAAATCTGTTCAGCCAAAGTCACTTATTTAATATTATGTGCAATAGAGATCACAGAGGTAAGATGTTAAAATACACTGTGGAAAATACTGTAAACTGCTATTTACTGTTAGCAATTTATCAATATGGCTAGTTCAGATGAAAGCCAAATGACAGTAACAAACGAGAGAGGTTTGGTTTGATTTTCAATCACATGTAACTAGTGCAAATACAATTGTTTCATTCATGAAAGCCAATAAATCAACAATAATTTCTACATAAATCAAAAACACACAGCTGCTGATTGTACATTGTCATTAAATAAAGGGATAAGCTCAGTTTATCAATATCACCCACTACAGAAAGTAGATATCAGTAAGTGTCTTCAGTGCTTATGTAAAGTGTTTTCTGGGTTGTAGATTCTCACACACGCAGACAGAAATAAAGCCTGGTTTGTCTTCCAAATGGACAAGAGCAGCAATAGTAACAGCAAAGGCAGAAGCAACATTGAAAGAGATCGTAACCACAGGCTGCCACACACAGTTCAGCTCGACACTATGCACACAACAGCTGACAATTCAAAAGATCTGCTGCTCAAACAGAATCTTTTCAAAGCCTTCAGGTGGAGTATGGTAGAAATCACTGAACTGGCAGTCTATGATGGCACTGTCATCCACTGAGGGAATGAGAGGGGAGATTACAAACATCAATGAATGGCATAAAGTTTGTCATTTCATGACATTTTGTCTCTGCAATATATAGGTAATATATCATGAAAAATCTATTTTTCGCAGTCCTTTTTTTAAAACTTGTATTGAAACTTATTGTTAAAGATATAGCAAATTAAATTATTGCTTTATAGTATGTTCCCTTCAACATAAGAACAATCTGCACATTCTTAAATGTTCTTTTAACCTTTTTTAAACTTAAAGGGATAGTCCACCAAAAGATGAAAAATCTGTCATCATTTGCTCTCCCTCATGCGGTTACAAACCTTTATTTCTTCTGCAAAACATGAAAGAAGATATGTTGAAAACGATAGGAACCAAACAACATTGGAGCCCAGTGACTGCATTAACACTGACTTCCACTGTATGGCATTTCTCAAAATATTTATTTTCTGTTCGACAATAGAAAGAAAGTCATATTGGTTTGGAGAGACATGAGGTTGAGTAAATGATGACAATTTTTGGACGAACAATCCTGTCAGTTTGCATAAAATAGGCACAAAAAAGGACCACAATACTTAAACGGTGGCTGTAAGAAACAAAAGTCCCGGTTTTCAATTAAAAGAGCTAATTAATGTTCTGGAAAAGATTTTGGTTTTTACTTTAAAATGTGCTGTTCATTAGCTGAACTAGCCTGAAAAAAAGTTCTTAGCAAGACTGAAGCTAAAGAAACGTAAATATATGATATCAATATTGTCATTATATTGGAGAAATAAAATTATATATATATAATTATATATCAAATTATATATATATATATATATATATCATATTACTGAAATACTCACCATAAACTATGGGGAACACAGTCCCTCGAATACCTGAGGCTGGACACTGCATGTTCTTTCCATTTAAGTACAAGTTCAGTTCCACATGATCATAGGTCACCCCCTTAAAACAGAGACACGTATTTACAAACAGAAGCGATATGTCTTATACAGCATGTTCTTGCTGTATTCCACAATTTAGCTATTGATGGCTCACAATCCAAAAGTAAAAACGTACCACTATATCCCCCTCCTGAGGAAGGCTGTTGGCAGGTAATCGATTCTTCTCCTCATTATTGTGGTATATGGAGCCATCGTGTCTAAGCACCAAACTGTGACTGTCTTGACCCAGTGGCACCTGGTTCAAATTCACCTTCTGAGTGGCCACACCGATCCCCCAAACACCTGCACCACAAACACAATCAGCAGCACACATTCGTGAGACAGCTGTACTCATCCATCTGAAGACCATTACAGAGATTCAGGAGGTAAATGAAATATGATTGCAGTAAAAATGTCACAAAGCAAAAAGATTTCTTCTATAAGGTCCCAATAATAAGTTACTTTATTTTTATTTGTTTTAGTCTAAGAGTCCCAATAATAGGTAATTTTATTTGTATTATTTTTTATTATGACAGCATTTTAGTGGCACGTAAAATACAAAAAATCTAAGATTATGAGATTTAAGTTATAATATTTGGGGAATACACTCAAAATTACAAGAATAAAGTCATAGCAATATGAGATTAAAGTAGTAATATGACTTTATTCTCAAAATATCATGACTTTAATCTCATAATCTTGGATTTTTTTTTTTTAACTTTAAATGGCACTAAATCGCATAATTTTTAATTTGTCTTTATGCAAAATATGATTTTGTTTGTCTTTTGAAATTGTTGAGAAACATGAAATATGATACGAGTTACTGTCATAAATTAACTTTTATATTAAGGGAAGATATTGCTTAACCATATGAAGCATGGCATCCCTTAATGTCTAATGCTTTATTTCTGGTTATTGCAATTGATTCAATTACTTAACTAGAGTTGTGTTCTCAAAACTGATTTTATTTATTGATTTATTTAGGTCAAAATCTGTTTTACATCAACAACGCACTCAATGACATTCCTCTTAGAGACAACAAATCATTCTATCTGACAGCTACAAAGTGCTACAGTGTTTGCACAGGCATTAGAAAAATATTAAAAACAATTCAAGTGAGACGGAAAATACCTACAATAGAACATTATGAAAAGTGTGGCCCTGCTCTGTAGTTACAACTATCATGGAGGCACTCACCCGTGGACTGGATCTTGAACTCAAAATAGCTCTTGTTCTGGTGTAGAGGGGCGTTGGCAAAGCAGGCTCCAGTTCCACAGATCCGCCTCCCACTTTTCACTATGACCACATCAGTCCCTGGGAAAAAAGGCCAAGCAAACTCTCATGACCACACTGCCACAGCACTGAAATACAGGTATGCATTATTGCATTTCATAATGTTTTCAGAGATAACTGCAGAAAAACAAGGCTGAAATTAAAAACACTTCCTGGATTCACTCAATTATAAAAGATTAAACAGATATTGGAACTGTCAGTTGTATACTAGCAACTAGCATGTGATCCGGAGTAGAGAGGACTACTTTAGCTGACTAATTAGACACTGTTAGGAACGAATGCACATTGTTTATTTAAAAACAGTGATGGTTAGAATATTTATTAGTCAATTTGTGTTGAAAAACTAGCCATTGTTTTTTTAGGATACAGCATCATATGCTAGCTAGACACATCTCATCGCTTTAAATTTTAAATTGGTGACTTCTAGTGACCCCGCTGAGCAGTGGAAATGACTCTTACCCATGTGATGCGTGTCTAGCTGTACGGTGGGCATTTCTTTGAGGGGAGCATGACCCGGTCCGCCATCCCCGCAGCAGCCCAAACAACACGTAAACATTGCAGCCATTCTAGCGCCGATATCGCCGGAAGTGCAGTTACACACGTCAAACTGAAGAGCGCACAACGCTTCCAGGATAGAATGGATCCCGTGGGAAAAAGTCAGTGTTGACTGGTGCTGTTTTGAGACAGCACCAATTCGGAAAGTCTTCTTTGGGCCGCATTCAGAACTGTTTTTTATTGAAAACCTTTTTACACTTCTTTTTTTAAATATAATTTCGTATCTGTGATTCTTACCTGATTTTCGAATGTAAATCCGCCAGCAATCTCTATAAAAATAGATTTTTTACAAATCCATTAATCACAAACGACTGCAAATGGTCCGTGACGCTCTATCAGCGGTCTGGATAAATATTTACATCCGTATAATCACTCTGAGAAACTTTAATAGCCATTGAATTGAAAATACACCGTGACGAGGCAAACTGGAGGAATTTTCTTTTATTTTGGTAGTTTTTAAGTGCCACATGATTCACCCCACAAAAAGTTAAAGAATATATTTGTTTGTATATTATTTGTATGGCAGGTAAATATCACATGCAATAACGCAAGGTGTTTAAAGTTCAAAGCCAATTAAATTTACAATAAAAAAGCGAGAACATACCATATATCATAGTGTTGAATTGGACTGGGATACAATTTTATGTTTTTAAATGTATGTGTCCCCTTTGTGAATTTTGGTTTGTGTTATTATCGAATTAACATACAATGAATAAAAACTAATTATCATAAAAAGCGCTTAACCGGTTCGTGGGCCCTCTCGTGGCCAATTACGTCACTGCATGCGCTTTCATCCCTGATTCGACCAATGAGCGCAGCGCCTCGGAAACCCTTCTCTTCCTGATGGCATGGAAACAGGGGAAGAAAAATCGAGGTCAAAATATTTTGACACGTGACTCGGTAGCGATTGGTTATCGATGCGTCAAGACCGTAACGCATGGCACGGGCATATGCGACCAAAGTGGCGTGATTAAGGATCATCTTTATGGCAGAGAACAACGATGTGCTTTTTGGTTCTGTGTCTGTAACTCATGACTAGTTGTAAACGAAAATCACGTCGTTATTGAAGCTCACTAAATAGATGAATTAGGCGTTTATGTAGGTAGATGATGGGTAACGCCAGTATTGACGTAATCTGCAGAGAAACGCTGATCTAGGAGAGAGTGAGTGCTCCCCCGCAACAACCCCATCCAATAATGAAGGGACCCTCTGCATTTATTTCTCACCGCACAAAACGTGTATTCAACTGCTTGAGTCTGCAAATACACTTCGCTACGAGGATATTACGCTGAATGTGGCGTTGAAATGTGTCTTCAGTTGCGCTATTCATTAGCTGTTTGTGCGCATTATTTCTAACTGCCTGGCCATACTGACTTGACCTGAACTAGTTAAAATGTCCCAACTCGAAAGGGCGAAGTCTGCACAGCAACAAGAATCATGATTGCGTTGCGCACTGCCTAAGCATCTAGTGCGCTTCTGGTCCAATTGCTGATGCTTTCCGCCTGCAAAATCTGCCACAACCGTGGTAATACCTTGACAACCGGACCCGGGCAAACCGAGAAACATTTTTGACAACTCGACGGCGGGGAATCTTTTTTCTAAATCAATACGTTGAAGTTTGTTGGACAGGTCCTCGGATATTCCTGCACGAAAGTTCTCACGCGACAATTAAAAATGAAGTACTGGTGCACTCAGAAGTCTTCATCATCAGGCAATCTGACCTAATATATTTGGTTAACCTGTCATGCCTCTTCCACAGAATCGTTTGATATGCATTGAAAAATATCGTCTGCTCGATGCAAATGTAAAAAAAAAAATAAAATAAAAAAGCTTGCAGGCTAAGCTTCACATGGATGCAGTTTCTCATTCTCAGGCAATTTGGTTCTATAATGTATTCACTGTAGACTAGTAACGCATTCTCGCAAAACCAAACAAATAGGCTACTTGGTTTATTGCGCGTAATATGGATGATGTCTAAAATGATACTAGACAGCACTGAGTGCTCTGGACTTCACAATCGGTGCGAGATGCCCGATAAAGACGCTTGCTAAGATGATGAAAGTTGTATTGATGTGTCATGCCCCCGACAAGCTTTCATACTGATGTCTTTTTCCATTTTAGGATACGATGGAGCTCTTGGAGGAGGATCTCACATGCCCAATATGCTGCTGTCTTTTCGAGGACCCGCGAGTTCTGCCGTGCTCTCACAGCTTCTGCAAGAAGTGTCTCGAGGGCATCCTGGACGGTAACCGGGGACCTGCATGGAGACCACCGTTTAAATGTCCGACCTGTCGAAAGGAGACCGTGCACAACGGCATCGCGAGCTTGCAAGTCAATTACTCCCTACGTGGCATCGTGGAGAAGTACAACAGGATTCGAGTGATGCCGAGGATGTCTCTCTGCCGAGTTCACAGCGGACAACCGCTCAACATTTTCTGCGCCACGGATCTGAAGCTCATCTGTGGTTTTTGCGCCACGACAGGTGATCATAAAGGACACAAGTTTTGCGCGCTGGAGGAGGCGTACGAACGCGAGAAGCTCGCGTTTGAGGAGTTGTTTCGTGTCGTGGAGGGCTGGAGGGGCGAGGAGGTGCATTCGTGCCTGGAATCGTTAGAGGGAGCGAAGAAGAAAGCGCTGGAGAGGGTGTCGCGGGACGCAGATCGAGTCTCTGAGTACTTTGACAAACTTTTGCGCACGCTGGGGCACAAACGGAGAGAGATCCTCTCGGACTTGGAGACTCTGAAGCTCGCGGTCATGCAGACCTTTGACCCCGAGATCAACCAGCTCCGTTCGGTGCTCGAGGAGCAGCGGCGCGCACTCAGCATCGCCGAATCCTTCCGTTCGCTCTCGGACCCGCTCACTTTCCTCCAGCAGATGCAGGACTTCAGGGAAAAGCTGCGCGTCATTCGGGGAACGCCGCTGCCGTCGCAGACGGCCGTGGATGTGGGTTTGCTTGGCCTGCAGAGCTTCGATGTGAAGGAATGGGACCGGGTGCTTCTTGGAGAGGTGGACAAGCTGTGCGCCCCCTACGAGAGCAGCACCTACCTGGCTTCGCAGCCCTCTGCTGCCGCTCCGCGCTTCTCCCGTGTGCAGTGGAGAGTTGTTCTGGTTATATGTGCGTGCCTCCCCGCGCTGAACTTTCTCCCGTCGGACTGTCTCGCTCTGGGCTTCCAGGATAAGGTGGTCGCACTCAGTGGCTTTTCTCTGCCCGGTCCTGGAGAGATTGTGCGCTGGTTTGGGTTCTGCTGGAAAGAAGCGGAAGCGATCTGCACGCTACTAACCGAGCTGTGTCGGAACTGTATCTTGGACCTGATAAACACAACATCAGATTTCATCAGCTGATTTGATAACTTCATTCATTAGGTACTTTTTTTTATGTACTACAGTGTTCCAACCTAGAAAATCCAGTATAGCATTGGGGAAATTTAGTTTGTGTCTCTGTTTTTGAATGTGTAACAAGAATGGCTGATTTGTACAGGCAGCATTTGTGTGCTATTAAATTGCACTGATTTTGTCTGTTGGTTTTAAATGGAAAAACATGTGTGGATGAATCGTGGTTTACTAATGGGATAACGTTTCCCAATCTTAAACTTAATAAAATGCCTTGTTGACTGAAGTTATATAGAGCTGTATCTCCAAAAGTTCCTCTTGAATACAAGTTTTCACTTTTTAATATATTATGCTTATTGCAGTTTTGGAAGCACCAGTGTTGGAAGTTAACTAAAAGGGGACACTTATTCCGATTGTGCATTGATATCGTTTATCTACTCTGTGGAAGTTATCCGGAGACTCAAGGTTAAACGTTACGTAACTGAATGTCAGTCTCGCACCAGGACAGTAAATTTAGTTATTCAGTATTATTTATTTATTTCAGTATTACTCAGAATGAACTTGCATACTGCTATTTGTTTATGTTGTTTAGTCATTGCCATAATGTAGCTTAAATGTTGCGACAGCATTTGGCATTAAGAGAAAGTTCTGAAATTATTATTTCCGAAACAAAACTTTATCTGAGCATCATTGGCTAATGGAATGGGATTCGTGTTTTGAGGGGCAATTCTTTTATATACTCTTTCATATTTTTATACAAAAAAAAATAAGACCTCAACAATGTCTTGGTTTCAACCAAGAGAGACATGAGATGTGCACCATTAAACACAAAGTCAGGACTGTTTAGAGAAAAAGTGAAGGTATCCCCGTTTTCCCCACTGTTTAAACATCGGAATCCTGAGAGATTCTCGACGACTCTGTTCTGATATGACGTCACCACCGGAGCCCTGCGCACGTCACCGAACATATATTTAGCCGACTGTTGCCAGGCGAACTGAGGGATGAAAAGTGAAATTACCTATTTTAACCTACTTTAGCTACAAAATGAAACCTTACATAACTTAGAGTAAATTAAATAACAACAAATGTATTAATAAACATACATTTTTTCTGAAGCCTGCAGAAAACATTGCCGACAAATAGGAAGCTCGTTCTGAAATGGCGCCATGTGTTATGTAACTCCAATTCTTCGATTTTCTCTTTTTAAACAAATGTAACATTGTGTCTTTAAATAACGACACTATCTTCACTCTATCACATATCTATCTTACACCAGTAGCCTATAGGCCTACCTCACTATTATTTTAAGAAAAAAAAGGCAGTCACGTCAACACACGTGAAAGGCTATTTATTTTTACTTTAAACGTTTTGTCTTTGTGTTTAATGTTTCTAATGACTAATGATTGAATTGCTTTAATAATCGATTTTGTCAATACTAGTCTCTTGAAGGAAGTGACTACACCGAAAAGTAGCACATTGCATGCTCCCATTTTCTCCTGTTTTTATTTTTAAAGTTGTAAATTATTATAGAGATAAGACTTCAAATAAATTTCCCTTCATTGCATGTATGATATATACTTAAGTTCTAGCATCATGCTTAATTCTCTTTAAAATTGTGTCAAATTAGATATATGGCATTATGTGAAGCAGCAAAAGTCTTATAGCGTCTGTGTGTCCTGTAATTGTAAAATGTGAAATGCATTAGTTTTATTAGGCTACTTTCTTGCAGACACTAGCAAACAACATTTGCCCATGATATATCCGGCTACATTAAAAAAAATGAAATCCACCAGATACACGAATTAATATGATCGCCGTTTACATTTCAATTATAAGCCGCATAAATTAAACTGCCATGCTGTCATGATGCATGAAATAGCAACACAATTTTGCATTGTGATAAACGATGCACCAATAGGGAACATCAGCAATTAGCCTAGGTTATAACTGCAAATGTCTCAAAACTTCCAGACAACGTGTTATGGTTGTCGAGAAAGAAAAATAAATTATATATTTTTTATTAAAATGACATATGTTAACCGTTAACATATACGCATTGTCCTGCATGTAACATTTAAGGCACTCAGCAAAGAGCCGTAACGATTTGAGAATTAAATCTTTGTTGTGTCTATAGAATTAAAAGAAGAGCGTGACGATCAGCAGCTGTATGCAGAGAAAATTTCGAGAATTATTTGGACCTTATAAGTTTCCCCGACATAAACACACTAAAACACTTAACAAAAAAAATAGACGGCCATTTTTCCTTTGGAACTTCGGTCCAAACACACGACGACCAGTAGGCCTAACTGCAATCAGTTCAAGTCATGTAAAATCAGTATATTCACAATTAAATTAAGCGAAAACATGTATTTTATTTAAATGTCTGCCTAAGAGTAAAGCTAAATTAAATAGCCTATATTTTTCACAGCCATAAAATGACATAAGAGGACTTCTCAAAGCATCAAATACAACAAAATAAGTGAGAGCAGAAAATGTTTTAGGTTCTGATAAAAACGTATTTAATTAAAAAAAGGCGCTTAGAAATCAGTCTTCACATTAAATTATCTATTTGCTTAAAAAAAATAAAAAATAAAAACCTCAAGACAATTTTATGTCTTATGAGCGTAACCTACTGGACAATGAACCATTTCATCTTGAAACGTTTTTCCATTAAATTATTAAAATGTGTATGTTTTGACATTACCAAATAATAGATTAAAATCAGCTCTATGAAACTGTGCACTGTTGCTGCATTATGTAAGCTGCGCTGACCATCTTTAGATCAAGTCTAAAAGCATCATATGACTAAAACGAAGCGTCAGAAGATTAAATCGACATGTGTCAGAAGTGATTATGTTACGAGTTAAAGGCAACAATGGTTTTAAGTGATGGTCAATTAAACAAAAGAATAAGACGTCTTTTCATTATTGTCAAGGATACAAAATGTGATAAAATCAGGCAAACGCAGCATTCAGACATGAAAAACCACACGCACTTCTGCGTGTAAATGGGTCCCTTGTAAAACTCTTCAAAGTTTTTCAAATTTATTTGACCTTGGTAAAATTATACAAAAATAAATAAATAAAATAATTATAATTTCTCAGAATACAAGAACACGGCAAAAACGAGCCCGAATGGTGGTTTTAGATGATTTAGCTAGCCTACTCATAAATGTTTTTTTTTTTTTTTTCATAAAATGGCGTTAATTATTTCAGTGATATGCTTTTTGAGGCCTGCATTGCGTTATAGTAGACTACTGTCTCATTATTTCAGGCCGACAGAACTTTGTGAAATTTCACAAAAAAATTATATTATTTAATATAAGCACTGTCACGTAAGGTTACATAGGCTACTAGTGACTTGTACTGTTAGCATGAAATGACACGTCATTTACAACTACCAGGAAATCTGAAAAATAACTTGCCCACATCAGAACTTCGCTGCATGATAAGCGTTTTAACAGTTATATAAGATTGATATTGTACGCATGCGCCGTTCGGTAACCTCTCGCTTGCCTCTGATATTAATATGCCGTCCAAAACTTGCTTATTTGTTATTACTGGAAAAAAGTCTATTTGGAGTCAGTTTTGTGGTCTCAGTGTACTCACCGGAAATGAGGAAGGGGGGGGGGGGCATTAATGCACTTCACATTATAGAAAACGGCCTATTTTAGCTTGGGGGGGGGGGGCATTAATGCACTTCACATTATACGGGTTCATCAACCAGAAAAAAACAAAAAACAATTTCTGCAACAATATTGAAACACAGTAAAGAAGAAAAGCGACCACAAAGACGAGATCTCATGACAGAAGTTGCGTTCCCTGTGGAAAGTGTTGAAAACAAAAGCACAACATATACATCGACAAAAGGTCGCTAACGAGGTTCAAATAAGTATGTGACAGGTCAGACCAGTTTTTTCCTTATTTTTTCCAGTTTTATTATTTATTTGCATCAACACAAAAAAGCAACAGCACGTTTAGAAGAATAGTGATTTCATTTAGAATATTTCGTTTAAAAAAAAAAAGACGATTGAAAAAAAGTGATACAAGGGTACATTTATATTTTTACATACTGAAAACAAACAGTAAAAAGCTAACTTTGTATAAACATTAAGAAAAAAAAAAACATTTAAAAAAAGCTACTTAACTTCACAAACAAAAAGTACTGCATCTATTTTACCTTTAACCATTACGTTTGTTCCGATGAGGCTGAGGGTCCTCCTGACTTCTCTGTTGGTTTGATGATTCAGTCCATGAAGGTATTTCAGTACCAGTGAGTCAGCCACAACCTGCACTGGCTAGGCCCTGGTAGCTGTGATAAAATGATGACGTGCATGTGCTGCTTGGTGACTTCTTGCTTCAGCAGCACGAGCAATATTGGAGGCATTGGCCAAGGAGTAACTCCAATATTTACATGCTGCTAAAGCAAGACAACACACATTCACACACACAATCTCTTCTCTCTCTCTCGACTGCGTAGGTCCCAGGAATTGATGCTGCAGCACATCACGGCCTGCATCTCTGTATCACCACAAACCATTCTGTGCTGCTACACCATCACCTAGAGAGGGTCCCTCTCTCTCAATCACACACTCACACCCTCGGCAACATGACCAAGCACTGCCAGAATCACAGAGCGAGTGACTCCTCTCCTCTGCTCTCTCTCTCAGCAGGGCTTGAGGCATTCCAGGACTCCATCTGAAACACAGAAGAGAGGAGGACGCTTGAGTGAGAACATACACACAGTAGCTGGACGTGATGCTGTCAGTTTGCAGTAAAATACTTCAGTGTCTACTACTGTGTTTGCCTGCAAACCATTTGCCAAACTGCAAACCAAGTGTTATTTCTACATTTGTGTGCAGGTCCTGCTAATGTACAATTAAGTGTTCAGGATATACATATTGAGTTTATCTATATATTTTTTTATTTAATATTTTTGCATGCATACAATGTACATTTCTAAATATATTTTATTGACGTATGATTACAAAAAAAACTTTAGAACGATAGCATACATGAAGTAAAATGTATACTTGTTACTACTTATTATTGCACACTGAATCACAGAATAAAGGCATTCAGTAAAAAGGCATCTACAAGTCAAAAAACGAATGATTTGGTATGATTATGCATATTTAAAAAATTCATCATTCCCAGTGGGTCCTGTACTGTTTTGGCATATCTACTTTTTATTATATCTTGAAACAGGACACAAGAGACAACTAAAAATTAGGCATTACAAGAGTCTTATACAGTAATCAAAATTTTATTTTTACATCATCATCCCCAGTGGTACATTATCCTCCATTCTTATTTTCTACAGGATGGATTTTCTGCAGACAAACCTCTCAGCAACTTTCAAGCATTATACCAAAACCTGTCCTCTGGCAACTCCCTTCAAAAATAACGATATTAAAGAAAACAAGAAACTAGCACTTTTGCCTTCTAGACCAGTCTGGATTTAACCTCCAAGATGATGATTCAGCACTGACAACATCCAGCCTCATAGTCATCTTCAACAGCGAGAACAGACCTGCCACCAGCTTCCCAAAGTGCTGTCCCACAGCTGAAGACATCTCTTATGCCCACACTATATTAAATAAGAAATCTATTTTTTCTGAATCAATCACTGTGCTCTGTGCTTCATGTACAGTTATGATAAAAAAAGGTTAATGTTAGTGTTTACCAAGTCAGAGTTGATGCGAGACATCATTAACATATAAAGATCTAATAAAAAAAAAACTGAAGTACTGATAGTAATATTAGATATATTTATACAACTGGCAATAGAACGACAAACACAGAATCTCAATATCAAAGTATTTTCTTTGACACACCAGCTTCCTAAAGATTTGGAATTTAGTCACATCTTAAAATAAAATTTAATTGTGTTGAATTATATTAGATTTTCATTAGAAATTGGAGAATTGTAGCATTAAACAATAATTCAAGTACATTTCCATGCCTGCTTCTAAGTAGAAAAAAGTGAAGCTGCAGAAAGGTGAGATCTGCAGTGAGTGTACTAAATAATACAGCATTTTACAGCCAACAATACCACTTGCGATGAAACGATTACATAATTTTCTTGAAATTTAATAGTTTGTATCTTTATTAGTATATTAAAACATATTAATTATAACAAAATATTAGTTAACGACAAGTGTCAAGCATCTGTTTATTATGATCACTAAGGTGTAACACTGACACCAAGGTTACGACCTGATTAACATAACTATTAATTTGGGTCAATGATGAACATGGATTCACGGCCAAGAAACAAGCCATTGTGACAATGCTACAATAGTCATATATTGTATAGCTCCTGATAAGTCACTGACAGTGAAATATTTTTTTCTCCTGTAAAAAAAATAAATAAATAGCTTAGGAGATTTTGACAGCAAACAAGAATAGAAACATTTTTTTCTAAAATCAGCCAGTTAGTTCTGTCACCCAAACAAAACCTAATGCCTAGTTGTGATCTATGAGATTGACAGGAAGACAACTAGATCCTCTCACACACAATATAGTCAATGCTAGACTAGCTTTAAGAGCCAATGGCCTGCACTTGATAATGACAACAAACTGGCAATGGCTTCTAAATGAGAGTTGGCATCTGAAATATTTTTTTCTTCCAGCATTTAGCTCAAGCTAACACACCTCAAAAGCAAGAAATACAAATAAATCCACTAGACATTACAGTGAATTTGCACTTTCACAGAAGTTAGAGCCAAGCCAGCACTGCCTGAAAAAAAAGGAATTGGCTATCATGATAGGCAATTGTAAGTACAAAAAAAAAAAAATGCTTTACACTTCTCTTGTGCAAGCAAGCACTGTGTCGATCTAAAGCGGACATCCCATTGCTTGAAGGAGATTTTAAAGCCTTAATACCATGATGGCTTGCCAGATGTCAAATGCTGTAAGTGTCATTTACTGGGCATATAGCACCTGAACTGCCTAGTTGCTGTAAAAATGTGTTCACAGCTCATCTCTTATAACAAGTAACACAACATATAAAATAAATTGAACAGAGATATTATTACCTTCAATTGTTTTCAAGGTTTCTGATGTCACAACCAGGCAAATTCTGGAAAAAAGAAGAAAGGTCATCAAAATACAGACATTACATTTACAGCTGCAGTTTTAAGAATCTGGTGTAACAGACAGAGCAAAATTTAAAAAC